TGGATTTTATATTTAATTATTTCTTAGGTTTTAAAGTGAATAGTAATTTTTATTGAAGGGAGAGAAGAAGGTTTAAAAGTATATTGTTTTAATCGAAACATAAATATTAGGAAATCTTGAAAAATGAAAGAAATAGAAAACAGAAGTTTCACGTGTGGAAATGACTACCAAAGTTATAGGACCGGACCACCTCTACATTCGTTACATTTCCACCATCAAATTTTAATCGTGCGATGCCACTTGTCAACTAATCACATTCAATTAATATTATATTAAAAACAAATACCATTCTTGATTGCAATTTGCTGCGTAGTTAACATGTAAGTTTATCAAAAGTAATCTCTTGCCACATAAGTATTTGGAGGATCCACAAATTGGAAAATTGGAAAAATTTTTTACAAACAAAAAAATTGGTTATTAATTTATTTATGGAGCTACCTCTCTCTTCTTTAATATTTTCATTTCTTTTATCCATTTTTTTCTTTAATAATAGGTTACATGTTGATAAACTTAACCAAACACACATAAATAATAAAATTTTTGTCTAGTAAAAAAATATAAATAAGAAAACAGAAAGTAACATATGCCACATTTGTTTAAATAAAAAATATCTGATTAAACCTACATTTTTTACTCATTTTTACTAAAATTGATGATAAGTAAAATTTTGATGGAAAAAATTAAACAAACATACACATAAACAATAATGTTTTTTTTTATTAAACAAATTTTATATGAAAAGAGAGAAAATAAACATTTGACATTCAATTACCTATGAAAAATAAACTATATTACTTTATATTTTGTTGAAATGAAACACTCTCTTATTCATAAATTATATGTCAATAAAATAAAACAAGTATTATTTAGAAAAATTTCAGAGTATAATCTTGTTCGAGTAGTTATAGTTATTTATTTAAAAATGACTTCTTATTCCTCAGATCATGTTCTAACTTAAGCTCCTCAAATGAACAGAAATCGTATGTGCAATAATTTTATAATGTGTCCTAAGTTCATATTAATAATATTTGTTCTATATCATGTTGATTGAGCAAGCTCTATTGAGGTCCTAAGTCGTATGCTAAGAAATTTTCTTTCAGACTTGGAGTTATCGTCAACGACTATAAATCAAAATTTTCAAAATGACTTAAGTATGATTGTTGACGAACTTGGACTTCATACCCTAGGATGAGACACAAGATTCCGTGAAAATAACATAAAGGAAAGTTAGATAATTTTTGTTGAGAATCTACGATAAACATCGCGTTTCATCAACTACTTACCTAGACATTTACCAAATAAAGGTTGACAATTTTTAGTAAGATAGTCCATTGGGAGAACCATATTTATCCAACAATCAAGTATCTTTATCCAGTAGTCTCAACTCTCAAAATTGGTTGCCAGTTCGTCCAAACTCGAGAAACACGAATTGATATATGTTGTATAGATAATAAGCTAATGCAAATAATCAAATGAAATCCACCGATATTGTTCAAATGATAAGACATTTTAAATGCACTTGAAATATGCGTGTATTGTAGACGCTCTTTATCAAATATTAATATATAAGTGGTAAATCTTTGAAAATTACAGATTCAACAACCATGTTAAGATCAAAATCCTTGATACTGTGTGCGAGGGTTTTAGATTGATATTCTAAGCCAACATATAAACAATGACCACGGGTTGAACTTCAAAAATTAACCATTGATACATATTGTATAATATATTAAATTTAAGTGTCTTCATAAAAAAACTAACATCCAAAATGGAAATGAGTCGAGATTATAGAATTTGATCATCACGAGGGCTACGATGTGTATCAAGTTTCAATATGGATGAATAAATTGATCCAATAATGAAGTATATTTACTAAGAATTTCTCACTAAAAACTCCTAATCTTAACAACATTGGTCGAGAGTTCGTCCAAACTTGAGAATCATGAATGTGTATTTGATTTCCAAAGGACCTAAAATTCCAACCCCTTTCGGGGGCTAAATACCTCTGATCACAACCATAGGTGCCAAAGAAGAATGAAAATTGAGACAAGCACATGAGAACCGAAAGACTATAGGGTTCTAGGGGAGAATGAACACATGATGGTGGCCGGCGGAACAAAACAAAAGAAGGTGTTTAGGGTTTTTGGATCTTAGAACCAGCTTCTGATATCATGTTGGGAAATTAGTCTCACTTCTATAATAACCCTAATATTAATACGAAAATTATCTAACTTCTACCACCCTGATATGGAATATAACTATAACCAATTACATAACAATACTCGCAGTATAACACAATACTACTTTTACTACACATCTCTAATAAATTAAATGTATAAAATGTGTATCATTCAGTCTTAATTAGTGGATATTAAGTCTCCAAGATTTTAACCTTTGAGAGGGCTGATGCAGGGAGACCCTTTGTCACCCTATCTATTCCTACTTTGTGTGGAAATTTTTAGGCTGTGTTGAAAGATATAAAAGGAATAAAAATCTGCAATAAAACCCTGGTTATCTCTCAACGTCAAAAGGTCAATCTATCAAATTATGAATTTACATTTAGCAAAAAATGTGCTAATGGAGCGTAGAACGAAGGTCGATATAGAATTTGACTAAGGCTGTTACAATTTATGCCATTATAATTGCATTCAGATAATAAAATAAAATAAAAAGTGAATATACACTCCGGTGGACGGCCGCCGGCATGAAGAAAGCAACGGGCGGTTCTGGTTTCGTCTCCACTTTCCAGTCAGACAAGGGATTAGGTGGCTTCGCATAAACAATTGAACGTTACACAAAACCAACCGCCATTTGGCACCGAAAGCAACCTACACGTCATTTTACCATGTGGTGTTTGGATCATCGTCACCGCATCATACGGTCAATTATGCAGATTAAATTATGAACGTACAATAAAATTAGTATAGTTACATACTTACATTGTTATTTATCTCTGCTATTATATTCATAATTACTGGTGTTTTTCTTTATAAGAAATTTATGACATAAACTAAATTTATAATTTTTAATATTATATAATTTGAGTACAAGTTTGTTTATGATACAAACATTAATATATAAATTCAGTTTGTACCTATACCTTTTCATATCAGTTAAATTTAATTTTTGATAAAGAACCTCCGTCGTTGACATGTATAAAATCTATCGGTTAAATTCAATAACTCGAGTTGTTGGGAGAAATATATGTATGAATTTTAACCACGTTCTTAAACACCTCTTCAAACGAAGTTAACTCTTGGGCTTGAACCTTGTAATTGATAGTTATATCATGTACTTTAAATGACGTTAAGATTTGGATCACAAGAACTTAAACATGTGAATTCAAGGCCGACGAGTAGCATGTGTTGGCCGGGCCCTATGGCACAATGCCTCCATTATAAGGATGCAATTACACGAGAGGTTGAGAGTCTTGAGTTTTCAGGAATTTTACAATTTGATCTATATAATATGTAGCGGAAAATTAATATATTAGTTTGACTTTAATCTATTGGTAAGCATGTTCGATAATGCAATTTGATCATGGGTTCAAATCCCTTTTTTTTTGTTTTTTGCATATCTATTTATTTAACTAGGCTTGACTAAAATGTATGTTCAGTATCAACACTTAAAATATGTACTTATTTTTAGAACTGGCAAATTATAAGCCGACCCGTTGACCCGATCCGAAACCGCCCAAAAACTAGAGATTTTTGTAATCCGAAATCCGAATGACCCGAACCCGATAACCCGTGATTTTTTGGGTCGGGTTAGCGGGTCGACTCATTAGACCCGTTCCATTTTATATATCACTACGAAAATGATAAAATCACTCATAAATTAGTAAGATATTTAAAAAAAATTACATGGATTTGAATGACATGTTTGGAGTTTAAGGATAATCAAATATCATGTGTTCTTTGTAGTAGTATTACTCTTGTTATTGTTTTTTTTATGATTTGCGCAATTTGTATTTCATATCATTAGTGTGGAAGGATTTGAGAATATGTTAATTGACATGTGTTAGGTAAACTGTTGTCATGCATATGTGAAAATTCGTGTTCTTTAAGAAAATACGAAGCATGTTTGATTTTGTTTATGAGAACGCTCATAACCCGAAATGATCTGTAACCCGACCCGAAACCAAATGGGTTGTGTTAATATTTGACCCGAAATCAGCCAACCAAACATGACCCGACCCGTAACCAAAGTCCCCAACCCGACCCGTATCTATTTTCATTCTTGAATTTCAAGTTTATCCATTTATCTCCTATTCTATGAATACTCATTTATTTAATTAACTTGAGTGAATTATTGGTATAGTTTCTCAACTTTGATATTTTGATTTGTTTTAATTTTTGAACTTCAAGTGTCTCCTGTGAATCTATTTAACTCCTATAATACGAAAATTCATGTTTCATAAGAAAATTTCGAATTTAATAATAAAAAACTCATTTTATTAAGAAAACGAGTCACATTTTATTTATGAAATAGAGCCTCAAGTATTGATTGGACAGGCCTGACTGAACTCACGATCAAATCAATCATTTTTAATGTCACAAATCAACTTATCTCAATAGGTCAAATACTTCGATGAGACCCATACATGAATTTTAACCACTTCCTTACGAACATTCTGGGTGCTGCATTTTATTTAAGCGATGATAACAAATGGAAAGCAAACAATTATAAGGATTTGGTCTAGCAATAATGTTGGGATGAGTTTCGTCAACGATACTTTAAATTCGAATCTTAGGACCAACAATCGAAAAAGAAGCAAAGTCGAAGAGGACGAAGACTACCTGCCGCAGATGTTTTGAACGTCCCACGGTAAAGAAAACCGGATGACTTTAGGACTAGGATTTAGGAAAAGCTGATCGAGCAAACCCAGCTCCTCCCACCACCATACCCACTATTTCCAAGAAAACCGACAGCTCCACCCCCAAAATATATTTTAAAATGAGTAAAACCGTCCACGAAATTCATAAATATTAAACAAATCAGTCCTTCGAATCACCAACTTTCTGACAGTCACCAGCCTTATCCAGAACCAACCCGAAAACTTCTTACCCCAAAATCGAAGAATTCTTCTCCCCACACTATAAATACTTTTCCTTCCTTTCACTTCCTTCCCAAGTCACAACAAAAGCAACCTTCTTTCCCAGTCCATTCCGAAATTAAACTTCTGGGTTCCCATCAGGATTCAAATTCAGATTCTGGGTTACTGAGTTTCGAAGAAACAGAGCGAGGAGGAAACAGGGGACGGAGAAAACAGAGCAATCAAGCGATGGCGGATATTGCGATTCTGGTAGCGGAAGAGTACGAGAGGAGATTGAATCGGGAGAGAAGAAATTCAGCTGCTGTTGCTTCGGAGAGGAAAGTTGATCACGTTCATCTGGTGGAGATCAATGCGAATTGGGAATCCGCTGCTGCAGCTGCTGCTGAAAACTTGAGGAGCAAGATGGTGGAGATGTTGAAGACGACGAAGAAAGTGCTGGTTGAGCCCAAGTCACAGGTCAGCCTAGCTGCTTCTACGGGCTTCTTCTCCGCCTGAACTTCTATACAATTCCTCCCTCCTACTGTAATCCCCTTTTTTCCGCCTTTACTTCTGATTTTCATCTTCTGGGTTTTGGAGTTTGTATATGTAGAACAGCCGTGGAAACGGAAAACAGGGGGAGGAGTTTCAGATTAATTGCTTTTGCCCCTGAAGATTTCACCACCCAAAAAAATGTTCTTGAACTTTATGTGTTGGTGTAAAATATGGTGAGAATGTGTGTTTTGCAACTTCTGGCCGCAGCGACGGAATCAGGAATTTAGGTAAGGGTGGCCGATTTTTTTTAAAAATATATTATTATGTTATTTATCATTCAACAAAAATTACCAAAAAATATCAACATATAAAGCTTATTTTTAACGAGTAGAAAAGGTTTGACATGTTGTATGGTTAAAAAGTTAAATTACTGCTAATTAAAATGAAAATGGAGCTCAATTCCTAATGGGAATGGAGAAAATGGTGAACCAAGTGTAATTCCTAATTATAAGCAAATTAACTTGCAAAAATTTAAAAAATCAGGATCAGAATGAGGAAAATATGCTTCAAATGATAAACTCTGATACAAATTGCAAGATTATGGGTAAAAGATGTACTAAAAGGGGAAATTTTGGTACCAAATTCTAAGGCATAGAAAATGTGGGTTGAGAAAGTTAGGTATCAATTGTAAAATAAGAGACAAAAGATGTACCAAAATGAGAGGAAGCAAAATTAACAAAAAGTTCTTTGAACTTTATGTGTTGGTGTAAAATATGGTGAAAATGTGTGTTTTGCAACTTCGGGCTGCAGGGACGGAACCATGAATTTAGGTAAGTGGGCTCCATTTTTTTTTTTGAAATAAATTATTATACTATTTATGATTCAATTTTTTTTAACCAAAATATCAACATATAAACCTTATTTTTAACTAGTGTAAGAGTTTTGACATGTTGTATGGTTAAAAAGTTAAATTACTGCTAATTAAAATGAAAATGGAGCTCAATTCCTAATGGAAAATGAAGAAAATGGTGAAATGAAGTGTAATTCCTAATTATAAGCAAATTAACTTGCAAAAATTTTAAAAATCATGGTTAGAATGAGAAAAATATGCTTCAAATGAAAAACTCTGATACAAATTGCAAGATGATGGGTAAAAGATGTACTAAAATGGGAAAAGTTTGGTACCAAATTCTAAGGCATAGAAAATATGGGGTTAAGGAAGTTAGATACCAATTATAAAACAAGAGACAAAAGATATACCAAAAAGAGAACCAATTGGGTTTGGAAGCAAAAATTTAAAAAAGTCAACTGAAATACAATGTAAGTAGGGATGGCAATGGGGCGGGTTTGCTTAAACCATCCCCATACCCATTTTCAAATACCCAAACCCATACCCGTCCCATACTCATGCGGGGAAATGCTTTGCAAACCCATCCTCATACCCGTGGGTTTCGGGTACCCATGGGTAATACCCATACCCATACATCCAACATTATTATACCTAAAACTTACAAGAAAAGTTCTAATTATAATTCTAAATGAACATATTATATCATGAAGTCAATAAAACACGGTCATTTTTTTAATATGGTTCAAAGATTATGATCCTAAAATATCCATTAATACATAATATAGAGTATAATATTTTTCAAATTATTATGTACAAACTATGATACATCTACTAAATAATAATTAACTAACATAATCTTGTTGACAAGGGGGAAAGTGAAAGAATGTAATGAGCATTGAGAGAAATGAATTAGATTTTGATTAAGGTGGTCAATCAATTGCATTTCTACTATTTATTTTCTCAAGTTATCCTCATCATCATTGATAGATTATAATTTGATGCACATATTTTTTTATATATGAAGAAATTATCTTTGTGGGGCGGGTATGGGGCGGGAAGGCTATAACCATACCCGCCCCCATCAAATTTTTCCTTGAAAAAAATGGCTTCAAATTTCAATGATAGCAGACTATACTCTCGCCCACCGTGGGGCTCGAACCCACGACCACAAGGTTAAGAGCCTTGCGCTCTACCAACTGAGCTAGACGGGCTTCTGTTCTTGTACATTCTTTTTCTGATTTTTCCTTGTTATGTAAGGATGAAGAACGGAAGAGATACGGCCTGCAATGATATTGGACACAAAGAAGAAGCCTTTATCGAGGAGGCTATAACTATTAGGGATATAAAGACATATGGAACAGCAAAATAGGAAAGGGAATGCGTTTGTGGTTTTGTTTTAATATTCCTATAGACTAATTCAAAGATAATGCGAAAAGATTGGAAGTTATGACTTTATAGGATGGCAATAGGTCGGGTCATGGCTGGATAGGTCATATTGGTTGCCCTACTCAAAATAATTTTGGTTTTATCCATATTTACATTGATGGTAGGAGACGGTAAAGCTATAGTTTCAATTTCCATTGTAATTTCGTTGGATGTACGATTGATCTGCTCCGAGATTGATCTACAACGTCGCACGTCGTCATAGATGACCAACAATGTTATGAAGTTGTTTTTCGTGGAGCAAACTTTTGTATTGATATTCATGAACACACCTTTGAATTATTTGGACAACGATTAATTACATTATTCACACATCTACTACAAACGAGAGTGTTTGATGCTTTTGATGGGTTTTTAGGAACAAGTTAAATTAGATTACTATATTTCTATGGAGATTCAGTGAGAAGTGAAACTACCTATCGCTTCTTGATGGAGGAAAGAACATGCATGTCAGAGTTGTGATTTTGTGAACTTGTCTATTGTCTTCTTTTCTACTACTTGTAGCTAGATTGCCATCTACTTCAACCGCCTCGGGAACCCTTATATCCGTCTTGATGACTACTTGGTAATTGTCACCTTGGGATCCTATGTCCCATCGCGTTGTTCGACGTCGGTATGGGTTAGTGTTGAGTTGACCTTCACTAATGCCCAGCTCACTTATCAATATGTTTTCTATTGTTGCCGCAACATAAAACAAATCCTAATGGAAATGAATCTGTCATTTCTTGAGAAACAAAATTTGAAGAAAACATGTTTACTTTAGGAGTATGGTGAGTTATGAAACTGAATTCTTATTATGAAAACCACTTTAGTTACTTCATATTGTTTTATGATACTTGATTACCATTATTTTTTTCATTAAATATCATACAACTCTAGCAATCGAGTATCCCATAATGTTGGTATGACTTAACTGGTTTGAAAGTTACATACTTAAGTTGTGCTACAATAGAAATCCTAATGATTAGTTGAAGAAGTCATTATATGTACTTACTCAATCTCCGAGGTAGTGGTACAAGTGGTTTGAAAGTTACATACTTAAGTTGTGTTACAATAGAAATCCTAATGATTGTTGTGTGTATCACAATAACTCTGAGGATGGTTCCATGATTTATCTGATTTTATATGTGGATGATATACTCATAGCTTTGAAGTTAAAGTCTAATATAAAACGGTTAAAGGGGCTTCTCAATGCTGAGTTTGAGATAAAAAGTTTGGTAGCTACTTAGAGAGAAGAATTCGGCCAATTCGGGGATACAAGTTGTTGATGATAATTTCTTGAAAGAAAGTGAACGGAAGACAAAGAGAAAGAGGGAGAGAAAGCTGTCAGTGAATGAGATTAATTAGATGAGGGTGAAGCAACTAAAATTAATCAGCTCATTTGATGGTGGCAGAGAAAGCAAAGCACAAAAAATAAATAGTTGCTATTTGTCGCCCTAATTTTTTACAATCGCCCTAATCTATAAATTATTATTACATTTTTATCCTTCTCTTTTTCAATTAAAAGTATTATATTCTAACTAGTAAATAAAAAACTCTCGTTAGCCATTTATTCCACCACCGCCGACCTACCTGCCGGCCACCATCTACCACTTTCCATCAGAGGAAAGGAAGCAGAGAGTTATATTTTCCATGTTTGAGTAAACGTTGTCGACGCAGCCTAATGTTACCATCGCGGTTGCTTTCCGGAAGAGGTTGATGATGGTGGCAACGGGCAGCGTGAGATAGACAAACAGAACGTCCATCAATTTCGCATCGGCTGCCATGGACCATGGTACAAGTATACAACCAATTTCTTCTCCCCTCTTTACGATCACCTTCACCTTATTTGATTAACATATTCACCCAACTGGTAAATTTATCATCTATTGCAAATAGAAGTTAGAAGATCGAGTTGTCTGAGCAAGGGGATAGAAATGAGACACACCTGGGAGAAGTAATTGCATCAGAGTGCTTAGGAGAAGTTACGGCGGCTGGGTGGACGGTGCCGATGGTGAATTCGGGAGAAGGAACAAAACCTAACATCTTGCTGGGGCATGAACTAATGCATTACCTCAAGCTCAAAAAGCGGGCGAAGAAAGGGTATATGGCTCTAAAGGTTGACATGGGAAAGGCCTATGATAGAGTCGAGTGGCCCTTTCTTCTAGCGGTTTTAGAGAAAATGGGGTTTAATTCGACTTGGCGGGGTGACTCGACTCTACTGTCACTCCAGGAATTGGCCAAGTGTAACCACTTCCTAAAGCGTAGTATAGCGGGTTTAGGTTTAATTATCAACCCGGGTCCTAGATTTGCTGACTACTCAGTGAGTTCTTGTTATCTAGCAACGAAACTGGAATGCAAGTCTAACTAACAAACTAACAAAGCAGGTAAACGGTTGTATTCAGGTTAAGAGAGGTCACCCGGATATGGTTCCCCCTAGACTGCAGTTAAGCCGGATTGTAATTACCAAGTTCAGTTTCTATGACAGTTATACTGCGGAAGGTTCTTAAACAGCCTGAAGTCTCGACTAAAGGTCTTCAGACCCTCTCAATCTGACTCTCTAGCGGGCGACTAACCTCCACCGGAGTCGACAGATTGAGGCCCTAAGAACAAAACCTCCACTACCAGAGTGAATCCGGTACAGAATAGTGAGTTGGCTCCTCGACTAAAGTCACCAACTCCCTACCTTCAATCAAGGATACTCTATTAACATAGGCAGATATTCTCATTCTAGGTCAAAGCAGAAACAACAGGAATTTGATCAGGATTCAAGTCATTCAATCATTAAAACCTCAATCGAATATAATCAATCATAGAATCAGTACTTGGGTTCATACAATCAAAGCCTAACACACAAATCTAGGGTTCTCCATACCCAGATGAATGGGAGAACTACTCCATAGAGAAGAAAGCAAAAGCAGAATCAGACACGGAATTCATACTACGAAGGATGGATTCCTGCTTCTGGACGTTGATTGGCACTTCTCCAAGCTCAAGCTGGCCTCCAATGGTGTTGAAGATCAATCTAGGGCACTTGGGAACTCTTGCTCGTCACTTTCTCTCTCTAGGAACTGATCTCTCTCTCAAAAACTCGAATCTCCTTGAATTGTGGCT